TCTGCAGCTATCTATCCTAGCATTATTGTCTTTTCCAATGATTCATGCCTTCTCATGATGTGGCCAAAATATGACTATCTCAATTTAGTCATCCTGGCTTCCAGGGAGAGTTTGGGCTTGATCTGTTCTAGATCCCATTTGCTTGTCTTCTTGGCCATCCACATATCCTCAGAACTCTTCTCCAGTACCACATCTCAAATGAGCTTATTTTCTTCCTATCCGTCTTCTTCACTGTCCAGCTTTCACATCTGTACATGGTGATGGAAATACGCTGTCTTGGACAATCCTCACTTTTGTGTTCAGAGTTATATCTTTGTTTTTAGGATTGCATCCAGTTCTTTCATAGCTGCCCTTCCCAATCCTAGCCTTCCTCTAATTTCTTGACTGAAGTCTCCATTCTAATTAATGCTTGATTCAAGGTATGTGAACTGGATGCAAGGTATGTGAACTGGATGCAAGGTATGTGAACTGGATACCTTGATTCAAGGTATGTGAACTGGATTCCTATTTCAATTTTCTCATTATCTAGGATGAATTCTTGTAGATCTTCCATGGTCATTACTTTAAAAAATATTGTCCATAAAATATGTATTTGGAAATATGCCATTATTTTTACAAAATGTAGCTGTGATGTAGCTATAGTAGTTACAAAATGTAATGTAATCATAGAAAGAACAATAAAATAGATCATGGGCTAGAATCTAAGGAAGAAATTGAAACCTTTGGATCTAGTCTGGCATAAACAATTGCAAAAACATTCAAAATGTTAATCTGAATTTTAGAACACTAAATTTCAATTATGGAATTCCCTCCAGCCATTATAATCTGCTCAAAAGATGCACATTTAAGATTCTCCCCATCCCCCATGAGTATTTCAACCTTTGTTTTTAACAGCATCAAAACTGAATGCTCATTGGCATATCTAGAAGTTTTCCTTGACTTGAATTTGCCTTCTAAATGAATGCCTTTTTTTTTTTGGAATTAGGAATTTTTTTGGTATTTTCTGGAGAGTCAAAAATACTCTGTGTGTGCTTCAGATATATGATATTTCCCTTCCTCTGGGTTTCCATAATACAGACAAAGGCCCAACTCAGAAGTAAAAATAATGCCACCCAGTATGCTCTATTTCTGGTTTAATTTAAAACACAGGAAAACATCTGTCTTTATTGTGTGTGCACAAAAAACTATACTATTTCTAAATAAATGAAATGCAAATGAGTGACAGTTCAGCATTTCTGTTCATAATAATTCTCTTTCTGAATGCAGTTAATTCAGCAGAAAACATATAACAAACTTAATTTACTCATGCAACTGAATATTAAATATATCTTACTCTCATGAGCACTTTTTTCTTTTTCTTGGCTGTGCTGATTCCCAGAGTGTTGTTTCTTTGCACACCTGGTTTCTCCACACTTTTCATCAGGTTTCCTGGGCTTGTATTTCTTGTACTCCAGCGCCTGCCCCCAAACAATTCAACAGCTTGAGCCAAGGTTGGGCCTTCATATCGGCCATCCTCCTAATAAAAGAGTTCTCAGCTTTATTAAGTTTGAAGAGATACAGATCGCAGAAAGAATGAAAAGCTGGGGCACACTGCTTAATATAGATATAAAATATTCCTACAATGCCCAATGCCTAAAGCCCAGCCAGCAGCAAGTTGGCATCTAAGTCAGAATATGTTAAAGGTGGCCAGTCGGAGTTAAAGGTGGGGAAATCAGAGTGACAGGTTGAGGCAGCAATTTCCAAAATCTGTAGTGTAGACCTTCCATCCCAATTGTTTCCAGTTTAGAATGCCCCATTCCCTTCCCCTTTACATCTACCAGCTGTGACACAGAAGCACAGCATGCGCAGTGAGTCACACAAATAAACAAGAAACTGCAAATCTAAGTTATATCCTCAAGAGGAAGGCAAGGAAAAAGGAAAAGGGAAGGTTAAAAACATAGTACAATAGCACAGAAAAAATATTACATCTCAGTACTTGAATGGATGACCAGCCTAAGCCTGGGGAAGAATACTAAACAATGCACATTATAGCATAGGTAGGTGGATCAGACTGGTAGCTCATCCCAAAATCACAGCTGAGAATGCTGTACACCTTTATAAAACCTGCTGAAATCTGGATTAACCTGGATTGGCAGCTACAGCAAGCATTTTAGAAAAGCATAAAGCCAGTGATAGTGAGAGATGGTTCATACAGGTTCAGCTGGAGCAGTGTGGTACTTGCTTAGTTTGTGAGGGAACAGAAAGGATCACTTTTTATTTTACCTGGTAGAGGCTGACATACTGTTTTCGCAGCCACTGCAGTCTTTGATCAGGGAATTTCTTCATCTTCCTTGTGGCACTGATTAATTCCAGCAGTCCATCAAAAAGCATTTTGGCAGTATATTTTGGAGCCACAAAGTGCAGCAACTTATTTTCAGTAGTTTGAAGTCCATATAATAGTGTTATACCATTCTCTTCAGGAGACATATTGCAAAGTTTATTCTGAACGCACACAGAATGCATATCAATGCCAGAGTGTCCCAGGTACACTGCCTTTGCTGAGAACAGGTCTAAGCAGCCCTCTACCAATCCATTTATTCCAGTATTGCCAAGAAATTGAAATTTCCCAAGTTCAGCCGTGCTACCAAGCATGCTTAGTTTCATTTTAGAACTTGCAGAGCAAGCGGTGGTAGGTTTCATCCAAGTCAACGTACTATTGTCAGGTTGAAGCTGAAGGAAACATCGTGCTGAAAAATGTGTCTCTTGGTCATAATGTATGACGGTTGCACCTTGCAGCAGGAACTGATGGACATCAGCTCTGATTGACAAAACATACCAGGGAATGAGTTCAATCCCATGGATGAATGCTTGTTGCTGCTCTTCAGCTGCTGGCATAGTCCATTCTCTAGATTGCTCAAATATATCAATTTCAGAATCTGATAGATCTCCAGTTATAAACCTGCATGGAAACCAAGTTATAATATATGTTCCATTAGCATACATCTTCATACAGTAAGTTATTTCATCATACAGTTTTTCCGAGCAAACATACAATTAAATATATTTGCTCATGTGGGTTTCATTTCAATTAAGACTGTGTTCACAGAGAAAATGTGTACCTAACAGGCTTTTTCAGAATCCTGTTGTACCCCACCTTCAAGAAAATCCATATTCCAAATGAGCACAAGAAACACTTTGAAGAACTCTATTCAGAAAGCCCACTGAAACGCTAGCATCCTTTTATTTAACCAGTATTCATTAGTATAAGGGTATATCCACACTGCAGAATTAAAGCAATTTGACACTACTTTAACTGCCATGATGCTATCCTACAGAATCCTGGGATTTGTAGTTTGGTGAGGCACCGACCAGAGCTCTCTGACAGACCAGGCTGAATACCTCACCAAATTACAAATTCCAAGATTCCACAGGATGGAAAGATGACAGTTAAAGTGGTATCAAACTGCTTTCAATTTTGCAGTGTGGATACACCCAAATTTACATTATATGAACTGTGGGGATATTTTCTTACTCCAATAAGAATTCAATTGTAGAGTTCCCCATAAACAAAGGATTTTTTGTGAGTGCAGAATCAAATATCTCAGTCAGAAAACATGAGGTGAAAATAAAAATAAAAGTAAAAATCAGATCAAATAAAAGTATGCATTTCTTGCTTTCTGAGATATCTCCTAATCCAGTGAATTCCCATGTCCCCTTTCAATGACAGAACCCAAGAATACAATAATACTCCATTGTATCATGGTTTCCTGGAAAGTGCTATGGGACTTTTAAAAATACCAATATTTTAAAATGACCTAGACACAAAAAAGTACACTAACAGGAAAAATCAATGGATAAGTTCAGGGTTTGTTTGTTTGTTTTGTCTGAGATCTTCTTCTTCTTCTTTTTTTTTTTTACAGGAAAAAATGCAGGAAAAAGTGGTTGAAACCTACATCTACTGCATAAACGACAATGCCATACTAGGTCCTACATTATACGTGTATTTCTGTGTTAAAAATGCATTTGGGAGACTAAAATGTTTCATTGCAATGCATGAAGATTAAGGGATGACTATCAGCATGACAGATTGTATCTAAATGCTCAATTAGGAAGAACACTTCTATGGTTTCTCTGTAATGTAATTTATATTCCTGTTATATGCCAGTTGAACAATACTAACCAGATCCATCTCAAATATATCTCAGTGAGCCTTCTGAATGAACCCATTTCCTACCTTTCTTTCTAACTTAGGCAGCAGTGCCTTAGCCTTCTTTCCTTTTCTGTCT